ATTCTGTTTTTTGCCCCGCCCTCTCTCTTAACTTTATCATGGAGGCCTGTCTACATTTGTACACCAAAATTTTCCTCGTTTTTTCAGGTTTATTTATTCTCTCTCTCTTGCAGCTGTCTCAAGTCCTTTGTAGGCATTTTCCTTTACATTTTTTTTCCTCCAAATGATGTTGCAGTGGAAAACGTAGGCCATATATTCGTTCACTGGTAGTGTGGCGGTTACAGGTTGGCCTGTGAGCTGCGGAGAGGGCAGTTCGAAACCACCAGCAGCTCTGAGGGAGAAAGACTGGGCTTTCTACTCCCATCCACAGTCAGTCACACTCTTAGAAACTCACCGGGGTCACTGTGAGTCACCACTGATGGGTTGGCAGTGAGTTTTTGGGTTACATGAGTGCACCGCTTTGAAGGGTGCTACATCAATGAGCTGGCTGGCTCAGAGGGTGGGTCTGTGCCATTTTGACAGATCGCTACATTGGCAGCCACAAGGCTACCCCCGTTCACTCTCCCATCCCCAACGTACGGGGGTGTCTGTTTCCTCATAGCCTTGCCAAAGTGTCATCTCAAAGGGCGGGGTTTCTGCCAATCGGAACGGCGAATAATGACATCATGGTGGGTTTTTTAGTGTGCTCTTCTCTTATTGTGAGTGAGGTTTGATCAATTTGCACTTCCTTAGTTATAACTTAACACAGTCTTTTTGTAAGACGTCTTATTCAAAGTACAAGTATATGCGACAGTGTTTCCCAGGGAAGGTCGCTTTCACTGGGGAAGGCATGGAATTCGATATGCTGATACGCTGGTTGGTGAAGAGGGAAGGCATTCTCTGTAGGCTTAACCCAAGGTTTGCCTGAATAACAGCAATTATTTATAAGGCACAGCAAATATGACCAGCAAATTACCATCAAGGCAAACACACTCCAAACTTTATATTTTTCCAACAGTGGCCTAGCGCCACAGTGCTAGAATTAATGCTCTATTCTACAGTGATGTTAATAGGAGGAATCTTCAATAAATGAGTGGTATTCACTGTGAAAAAGAGCTTTCTGAATTACGTGAGAGATCTCAGCTATATTTTTACAAAGAAAGGCACATTGTTATTGCTTTGAGATGAGAGCATTTTTCAATGAATACTTTTGTGCTAATGATTACTTTTGGGAAACAGGGAAAGCATTTTGTCTTCTAATTACTTAAATGAGTACTTTTCATTCATCTTAAAAGAAGCAATATAGCAAATACTTTACTTAGAGGTCAGGAATAAAGCAACATTAGTACCCATTAAATAAACATTTTGAATTATGGGATTAAATTAGGGAGAGCCCATTCTTTTTCTCCCCAAAATGAGTTTCGCACTTGACTATCAAACCATAGGTTATGAAGAAAGTTTTCCCTTGTTTATTCAATATGAAGACTAGCACGTTCCACCACTAGCCAGAAGCGGATTTTTTTTTTCTTTTTTAACATTTTATTAGGGGCTCATACAACTGTTATCCCAATCCACACACACATCAATTGTGTAAAGCGCATTTGTACATCGTTTCTCAAAACATTTTCTCTCCATTTAAACCCCCGACATTAGGTCCTCATTTTTCCCCTCCCTCCCCGCTCCCCCCTCCCGCATGAGCCCTTGATAGTTTATAAATGGGTATTTTGTCATATTTTGCCCTGTCCGACGTCTCCCTTCATCCACTTTTCGGTTGTCTGTCCCCCAGGGAGGAGGTCACACACAGTTCCATGTAATCGGTTCCCTCTTTCCTACCCATTCTCCCTTTACCCTCCCTGTTTTGCCACTCACACCACTGGTCCTATAGGGCTCATCCGTCCTGGATTCCCTGTACTTTCAGTTCCTATCTGTACCAGTGTACCTCCTCTGGTCTAGCCAGACTTGCAAGATCGAATTCGAGTCATGGTAGTGGGAGCGGGGAGGAAACCTTTAGGAACTAGAGGAAGGTTGTATTTCTCATCATTGTTACATCGCACCCTGACTGGCTCATCTCCTCCCCGAGACCCCTCTGCAAGGGGATCTCCAGTGGCCTACTAATGGGCTTTGGATCTCCACTCCGCACTCCCCGCATCATTCACTATGGTAAGATTTTTTGTTCTGATGATGCCTTACACCTGATCCCTTCGACACCTCGTGGTTGCATAGGCTGGTGTGCTTCTTCCATGTGGGCTTTGTTGCTTCTGAGCTAGATTACCTTCAAGCCTTTAAGACCCCAGACGCAGAAGCGGATTTTATCTCAATTACGTCACTAAATTCTCCAATTTCATGTTTACCATCCCAATCCGAGAAGAAGGTGAAGGTCCGATCTACTAAGACAGCATCTGGCTGTAGTAAGGACATTCTCATCTGCCCCGTTGTCCTGCCGTTCTGTTGGCGACAAAGTACGTGTGCCAAAAGGAAAAAGAAAATCGGAGACAACTGTTTGGGAATCAGCTTTAAAACATAACTCCCTACTCCCCCACACTCTGCCCCATGGCATTGAAAAGAAAATGCTTAGCAAAAGTAAGTGTATGAAAGCAATTCAACATTCAGATTAAATCCAGGGCCAGAGCCGGGGAGATCAGGTGGCTGTTGAAGTCCTAGAGGTGAAAGAGAGTGCTGTGTCCATTGGGCACTTGTGGTAAAAGACTCAAAGAACCTTTAAGCCTATTTAACAAGAAAACTCAAAAGCACTGCCACTGAGTCAATTCTCACTCAGAACGACCCTACAGGTCAAGGTCGAACTGCCCCTGTTGCTTTCCAAGACTATGTATTCTTAGGAGTAGAAAACCTCATCTTTCTTCCTCAGAGTGGCTGGTGGTTTCGAACTTCTGACTTTGTGGTTAGCAGCCCAACGTGTAACCCCTATGCCACCAGGGCTCCTTTTCTTTTCTTAGTGGTTCGTGAAGTCAAGGTGCATCTTAAACTTGAAGGCACCCTACATTTGCTGAGAGAGAGGATTTTAGGCCCTGCCCCAGAGCCATTCTATGTCCATAGCTCCAGGCAGCTCTCAGTCAGTCTGTGTGGGGAGCAACACAAGGGCCCACAATTTTATATCAATATAAACCGACTGTAGCCCTAGCATCTTCTCTGGTGCTCCATTTCTACTTGATTATACATTATGGATAGACTCTGGATATAATATAATCAACTCCCAGCAGATACTTAAAAAAAATTCTAATGAGTGTAACAAATTCTAAAGTCTAAGCATTCTAAAGAATTCTAACAAAAGTTCCAACAAGAATTCCAATAACAATTTTAACAAATCAAATTTCACCCATTACCTCAATTATGGTTTGGAGTTCAATGTCAATGGAGGGGAATGCTAGGTGAAACTTGGAGAGCCCCAAAAGGGAGGGTATGCTATGAAATAAGCTCAGTTTCCACAGGAGAAGAGCTAAATCTCCCGAAGCATTAGTTAGCTGATGCATTTACAACCAGGGAATAATTATGAATTTAACCCAACAGGTAGCTCCATCTGAATTGGTTCATCTAAGTGAGCTCCACTTTTGATTGTTTACCTGTGGTTCCAGACGTATAAATGTATAAGGCAGGAGTGGCCAAAGTAACTTCAGACCTCCACGACTCCGGGATAGGTTCAGTTGACACCTCGTCCACTTTGTCCAGGAAAGAGCCAACCCCGTCCGTGTTAGAAGTTCTGCTCACATAAAAGATGGACACGTCATCCTTTTTCAGACTCGGCAGCACCTCTTCAACAGCTGCTTGCAGCTCTTCATTTAATAGGGAAAAAAAGAAAGAATAAAACACCACAAAATGAGTTCGTCCTTTAGGAAAACGCAAGAAAACCCAAACTCCCTGTCATTGAGTCCATCAGGAACAGCGTCGCCTGGTCTCTGGGGGTTTCTGAGGCGGAAATCTGCCTGGGATAGAAAGCCCTTCCAGTCTGCTGACTGGTTGGCAGCCAGCACAGAACCATGAGCGAGGGTCCCGTGAGTATACCCAGCTTCATCGTAATGTTGCTTTCAGCACGTTGTTGCTAGAATGTGTGAACATGACAAACGATATTGATCATGAGGCTGGTTTCTGTTGTTTGCTTTGTTGTATATACATTTTTTAACTTTTGTAATAATGACGCTGTATAACAAATCACTTATCGTTGTGTTTAAAAACAAAACAAAACAAAACACAACAGCCTTATGTCTGCAAGTCACCTTTGGATTGGCTGATCTAGGCTGCCTCCCTCTGCTACGTGGCTTTTTAAAATTAAATAATCATTTTATGAGGGGCTCATCCAACTCATCACAATCCGTACATACGTCATTTGTGTCCAGCACATTAGTACATATGTGGACTTCATCATTCTCACAACACCCGCTTTCCACTTGAGCCCTT